TGGAATTAATAAAATTATTTATTTTTCTTAAAACAAATGAATAAGCTGAAGCCAGGGAAATTTCCATAACTTGATCAGAGTCATAGAAACTGCTTCCTGATTGACTGGTTTTCAATTTCCTGCCTATTCTATGCTTCCATCCTACCTCTCAGAAGTAGAGGTAGGTGAAATTCCTACCATTAGAGTTAATTTTTTTTCTGGTCTAAGGCAGCATTGACATATGGAATTCATTTTATGGTCCAACTTGAATATATTTGAAATGGTTACCAAAAGCAATATGTTGAGCAGAATTTTGAATGTACACCTGGGCTTAATGTGAAAGGGTGTCATAATCGTTTTCCGGTGTCTGAGTGTAGGTTGGGAATCATGGCAGCACCTGTATCTGCCAATCCTGTGTTAAGGCATTGCCACTCCAGTTTTTTTTTTTTTTTTAAAGAAACATCTTTCAGAATAATACATTAATGTTAACTTGTAAATATATGTTATCATCTATTAGTAACTACTGGAGCTAGGTGAGATGTGAAGAAGAATGAGACCTATGGATCTGGCACTTGGAGTTGCTCCCAGATGACAGACTCAGTTGGGGAATGGCAAAGTGGTGGGTGGGAATCTGGGCCAGCAAGAACTGTCAGTGCAAAATGAGTGCCTTGGTCTATAGCAGAGCTGTGGCTAGTACCAACAAGTGGAAAGGATTCAGAAATCAGAGGTGGGAAGATGCTAAGGTGACCGATTTTCCCCGTTTTAAAACAGAGGTAGTCCTGGGCAAACTAGATGGATTGGCTATATTAGAAAGCACAAACAGAACTTTGGCCTATGTCATAGCTTAAAGTGAACATACTATTTGGTCAGTGTATTATCAAGCTATTGCTGTGATCATGCTACATAACAAACAACCCCCAATCCTTAGTGGCTTGCAACCACCAGCATTTCTCTTTTTTTGTTCTATAGACCTGCTACAGTTTGGACTCAGGCAGACTGTAGTTTGTAGTTTGAGAACAGACTACAGGTTTCCGCTGTGTGATGGTCACTCCCTTTGCACCTATGGTTGTTAGAGCAATTTCTTCTTATAGAAATGGATTGGACAAGAGGCCAATGCAAATTATGTAGATATGCTTAAAGTCTTGGCTTGTGTCAAATGCACTAAAGTTCCATCACCTCAAGCAAAGTCATGTGGCCAAACTCAGTATCAGTGGGGTAGAGAAATATACCCCACTTTTAATGATGTCATAACCTGTTTAGTCACGTGGCAAAGTTCATGGATGGATATTCCTTCAATAAAGAGGGAGTAAGGCCTGGGAACAACATTCAATCTATGAAATCAGTAAGTAATTTGTGTCCAGACCCAAACAAGTATATCCATATTTCTCCAGCACTGGCATATTAGGTGCCCCATAACTGTGTGACAAATGAATGAATACCTCTAAAACAGGATTTTCTTATAATAAAGTGGTTCATGTTCCCATTTTTTCAAAAGTTGTCTGGCCCCTTTATTATTAGATGCTAGGAGCCTCCTGAGGGCTGCTGTAGATCAGATGTCCTAAATGGCTGTTAGGAAATCTTTCCTTCTCTGACCTACTATTATCCCTTGTCTGGGAGTTTTTTCCCCTCTGCATTTCTCATCCTCCAGTTAGATGGCAGGCTCCTGCAAGCCTGGAGAAGTATGAGAGGTGTCCTGGCCCTTTCCAAACCGGGAAGACATAGTAACCTGCATGTTCCAGGGACTGGTGTTAATTGTCCCCTCCAACTCTCTTCTTCAACACCTTACCCACCCCCCGCCCCACGCCCCCAGTGGTTGGCCCATGGCTGGCTTGTGTTCCCAGAATACTTCTTGACTTGAAAATGAGGCTTGTGATTTAAAACCTTTTTATATTTCAGAATTAAATGCAGACATAATCACTACCCTCTCTTCCCCCACCATCTGTCCCCATAGCCATTGTGTGTGTGTGTGTGTGTGTGTGTGTAGTGTATTTGCTGAAATCATTTTAAATGTTTGCTATGATCCTGGCATTACATTTCCAATTTTGGATACTTTTGATTTTTTTTTTTTTTTTTTTTACTAAGCAATGAAAAGAACTGTTAGATGTCGAGAGAAAAATACTTGAAAAGTTAGCCTAATATTAGACGATCTTGCATGGAAGCTGAGCCTTCTCTGGCACACAGAGGAATTCAGAAGTGTCTGTGTCCCTTAGCAAGCACTCAGGTATTCTTTTATATTTAGGATCCAAAGTACCCAGGAAAGAGTCACAGAGCACCTCAGGTCAAACGTGGCTTTCAGCTCTGAAGACTTCCAGCACAGACATCTGAGCTCGCTGCACAGCAGAAGCCACAGTTTCCTTTCAAGCTTAAAAATGTATTCAGCAGCTCAGACTGAAGCCGCAGAATGAGCCAGCTGTGCTCCACGTATAGGCACGGGGCACTCCTCTTTACCCGAAGCCGAGGGAACGTGGCTGAACACAGGTGTCTCTCCCTGTTTAACATAGACCTGTTCCTGAAGAGTTTGCTGTGTCAACATTCACTTTTAAATGTTGAAATTGTATTTGGAATTAATTGTTGCTGTACACTAAGAACTTGGCCTAAAGAAAATCCTCCAAAGTCTTAAAAAAGAAAAAGAGACTTGGCTGTGTCATAAATTTCATCATGTAGAATTGTCCTTTTTCACTGACTTCAATAAAAGACTGGAAGAGACTTTTGAAAAAAATGTGTGGCCTCTAAATGATGTAATACCACATGACAGCAAGAGAGGAGAAATAGGATGTTAATAGCACTTAAAAAGAATTACAGATAGTAAAGGATTTCCTTGGATGCTGATCCATAGATGTTTTGTGACGTACTGCTGATCTGTATTAAAATCCCAGGGACAAAACTGGGGTAGGGTCAGCCCAGGGATTTGCTTTCCTGCTATTGAAGTGTTTCAGAGTTTTGATTTCTCCTTTCTCTTTACCTCCCATTGGTCTAGCCAGGTACACTGCAAGAACATTTCTGAGTTCTTTTCAGCACTTTTGACCTTTTTTCTTTCTTTAAACCTTGAGGACTATGACACATTCTTGTCATTATCAATAAATCACAGTGACTGATTTTTCCCTAGGTGAATGTCGACAGGGGGTTCCTGTGTAGTTAGAAAAGAGTAACTTCCCTTCTCCCACTGCATGTGATCACTGTTGTTGACACGTACAAATCATTTCATACTTATTTTGTATTTGATGCAAAGAACCAACTCATTGGAAAAGACCCTGATGCTGGGAAGGAGTGAGGGCAGGAGAAGGGGGTGACAAAGGATAAGATGGTTGGATAGCATTACCAACTTAAGGGACATGAGTTTGAGCAAACTCTGGGAGATAGTGAAGGACAGGGAAGCCTGGTGTGCTGCAGTCCATGGGGTCACAAAGAGCTGGATATGAGTTAGTGACTAAACAACAACAGTTTGTTTCCACTGTCTCTGTTCTCTGATTAACTTGATCAGTCACTCTTTATAACATTATACCTTGTAAGATGGACATAATGATACCTGCTGTACCAAATAGTAGGGTAGTTCTGTGTCCTACATGGCAATAGGAAATGTGTGGGATGTTGTTGAATTGTTCCAAGGATTGGCTAGCTATTGGTATTAGTGGGAAGGGGCCAGAGATGCTTAATATTCAGCAATCCACAGGACAGTCCCACATAATAACTGGTTGCACTCAAAATAAGGACACTGTGAACAGATATGAACACTTTATGAAAAGTCTAGCATGGCATTTGAATACAGAGAGTTCATAGCTCATGTCGAGTACTGATGCCTTGTAATGAGACTGACTTCGTTTATGCTCTTACCCATCTGCAAGAGGACAACTCTTTCTTGCTACTTGTTGTGAGACCAGTGGGTTCATCTTCTGTTCATCTAAGCTCATTTAAGAAAATGACACTTCTAGTAATCACTATGATAAAAGTAACTATTCTTCAAGGAGCACTTAATCATTCTCTAGGTACAGAACAAGGAAATGTTCATGCTTTAACCCATTTCTTCTTCAGGACAAACCTTGGAGCAGATGATAAGATTATCTAGTGCAGAGATGAGGAAGTTTGGGCTACCAAATCTTGCTAATTTTATTTCCAATCTAGAATCAGAGTTTCAAGGGGTGGGGAGGGTAGCTTGTTCCTTGGGTGACAAAGTGTGCTTCCTCTCCTCTCTTTGCTTCCCCTAGCCCTTCCCCTACTAAAAACAAACAAGATTAAGCAGATAAGCAAGAAAACCAAAGTGTGAGCTCTTTAATAAAGGCATTCAGGGCTACCAGTTTAGTCTGCACACATATAGTGTTCTTCCTATTTCTGGAGATCACCCAACATGCGAAGCCTTGGTGTGATCCGGGCTCCCTGGAGCAGTGTGGTGTGACATTCCCTGGAATCCCTAGTGGTATCATTTGTCTGAAATGTACCAGGTTTCTGACTCCGGCGTGTACCACGTGATGTATCACGATGATCCTCTGGGACACTCCTAGCCGTACTGTGGAGGTTGCTTGAAGCTTGGTCCTTATCTGGCAGATGGGTCAAGATGGCTCCCAGAATCTTCATATGTTAAATATAACAGGAATCTGTAAACATTCCCTTTGAGTGTTTTGCTCTAGAAATTTGTAAACTGGGAGATGTCTGTAAGATGAGTTATTTAATCTTATAAATACTTCTCTCTATGTAAAGAGGAACAGCTTTATGTAAAGATCAACTTTAATTAGAAGCACATATGATGTCATTATGGTTCGGGTTTGTTGAAAGCCTAATAATTGGATTATCACTGTGGGCTGTCATTAAGTAGAACATTGCTCTAGATTACAGGGGTGACTTAACTTGAGTCAAAGAGCATTTTCTGAATTTGTTTTTCCCAGAGAGTCAGGCCACCCTCTTGACTGAAGTAATGTGTTTTTTTTTGTGGTTTGTGTATAAGGATGTGTGCCATGTTCACATTTATCCATTTTTATTCCAATGAATAAGAAAAGCTGCTTTTTAATCTATTTAATTCATTTTCACAGATCAGTGCATTTGCAAGAGTGGAGAGAGGAGATGTGAGGTGAAATGGGGAGTCCTGACAAAAGCAATTGACAAAGGCACGGTTTATAATAAATGAGAATCTTGGAATTCTATTGCCGAATTATACAGACCTTTCCAGAAAGAGTAAGTCAAAGCAGATCGGATGACTGGCTCACAATTAACAGTGACAAAGAGCAGCATTGCTTCAGTCCTGCCCCTTCTATTGGTTTCCCCGTGGGTGTCCCTGTTGGGGCTTCTCAGGTGGCTCAGCGGTGAAGGATCTGCCTCCCAATGCAGGAGATGCAGGTTCGATCCCTGGATCAAAAGATCCCCTGGAGAAGGAAATGACAGCCAACTCTTGCATTCTTGCCTGAAAAACCCCATGGATGGAGGAGCCTGGTGGGCTATAGTCCATAGGGTCACAAAGAGTCCAAAATAATTTAGCAACTAAACAACAACAACAAAGCCAGGACATGCTGCAAAAATACCTTAGTTGACTATTATTGAGTAATAGCTTAGTTGAGTAAATACCTTAGTTGAGTAAATACCTTAGTAGAGTAACTCACTACTAAGTGAGTTAGAATGATTAGTTCAGTCACTATCAGGACTTTGACAACAAAAGAGGCACTGAAGGCCACACAAGGAAAAATATTGCATGGTAAAAGAAGGCAGATCTCAGTAGTACAATCCCTATGATTTTGCACCTCTGAGAGTTCAAACAATGAGACCTGAATGACTCAAAGATGCTCTTATAACCACACAAGTGTGTACTCTGGGGGCCTGGGCATAACCTTGATATGTGAGACTGTGGCCAGTCCAGTGTTCCAACCCTGTCCTGGATCTCTGCCCCTGGTGTCCTGTTGAGCTTCCGCCTGGATCCATCCTGCCTCCTTTCATTTCTGGCACAACACTGTTGTTTTCCAGTCCAGAACCCAGTGCAGCCCTTGCAAATCAGAGTGCCATATGGATAGGGAAGAAGGTAACACTGAGCCATCTCATTTGTCCTCACAGCATTAGTTTGAGGTAGGGAAGGACAAGAGTTAAAAAATGACATGATAGAGTGACACAGTGAAGCAGGAAGAAATCAAGGACTGAGATCAGGAAATGGTGGTCTTTGAGGACAAAGCCCCAAGGCTTCTAACAGCCAATCTTAGGCTCTTGGACAGGGTGGAACTGCTAGCATACTACAGGAAAACAGAAAAGCTATGTTAGTAGTTTTTGCTTGTTTGTTTTTAATAATCAGTAGCCTACATCCCAGCTAAAATTAGTGGGTAAATAGAACCTATTTCTCTCTTTGTAGCATTTGTCAAGTCAGATCTTTTTTTTTTAAGCACCCTGCATGGTCAAAAGCATCTGGAAAAGTGGCCAAACCATTTTCCAACTGTTTCCCTTTAGTTCTGACAAAATAGGATTGCAAACAGAATGAGCATTGCTGCTCTGGTCCCCAGGGCCCTAGGCCTGCCTTGCAGCACGGAGCCAGCTTTGTCTAAGATGAGTGCTCATCTGGATGCCACCAGCCTCAGCCAGGGAAGGACCTTGCTACACAGTTGAGGCAGCACAGTCCTCCCACCCAGGCTCCATCCCCAAGTGCTCAGCTCAAGGCTTCTATAAGGATTCTTAGGGATGGAGCATTTGCTGGCAGAAATATTGTTGACATGAAAGAGCTGGTGCCAAGATTTTAGGATCTTATATAGCTCATGTCCATTACAGTGGTCTTGGATCTCTTCCTCTTAATTGCCACTCATTGTCTCTCCCTAGAAGCCTCTTACATTGAATCTCTTGATGGTAGAACGTTGTAATGGAAGGGAACAATCTTTGAGCTGGGAGTTCTGAGACCAGCGTTCTTTTTGATGGATTAAATATATATATATATTTTCATTGTTAGGCCATTTGTCTGGTAGGTTGAGAGATGTCTCTTGATTTTATCTTGGGAAATTTCCTTTTTAATTAAAAACACTGGTCCTTACCTTAAAGATCTTCCTATCTTAAGGAAAAAAGACAGACCTCATTATTCTTTAGTTAATGTTTGCAGAATGACTTTTGGGTGATTAGTGGAAGAGTTCCTTCTGCCTGTCAAGTTAATCCAATTTCAGTGACTTATTTTTTTTAAGCTCTATTGAATCACCTTGTTTTGTCTTTGTGGCACAGTCATTGCTAATTGTAGACTCTCAAAGCTAAGGGGACTTGGAGTTCAGTTCTTTTTGTAGATAAGGACATTCAGATCCAGACACACTGCTGCATTTTCTGGTGTGTAAGAGACATCCTTCCCCAGTGTAGCAAAAATTTCCTCGCCTCTTATGAGTCATGGTTGCTGACTGAAGGAAGATGTAAATATGGAATTTGCTTTAGAGCAGTTATGTCATCAGAAGAGAAAATACATTATTTTGTTCACATAACTATAGTATAATGCATTTCCAATAGAAAATTAGAAGTTGTGAGTATATGTAGTAATATGTAATCTGAAAAAGGTAAATTCTGAAAAATAGTTGTGTTCATGCATGCTCTTGCTTATCACTTCCAATAAATATGTAATGAAAGTACAGAAAATACCCCCTCCCCTGAAGTCTTCAGTGACATTATGCATGCATCGTGCACATGAGCAAATATGTTCAGTAACCTTTTAAAATCTCATGTAACCCGACTGTGCTTTGCAAACACCCAGGGCCCCTTCAGAAAGAGTCACTTGTAAACAATTTTCAGAACTGTGAAAAGGATTTCAAGGGTTTTTTTTTTTTTCCTCCTTTACCAAAGAAAGCCATGTGAGAGGAGGAGGAGCAGGCGGGGGTGGGGAGTGTCGGAGATGAGAGCTGCTGCTGCTGCTAAAACCCCACACCCAGTGGCTGGTTAGTGATTCAGTGTAGAGGGCAATTGAGAGAGAAGCTCAGCTGGTGCCTTGAAAAAAAAAATCGAGTGCAAGTCTGTTCTCAGCAAGTCACAGCCTCCATCATTTTAACCTGGGCCAAGTGGGTGGGACTGCCCCTCCCCCCTCCAGCCCCCGCAGTCCTCTGGCTGCCCTTGACTTTCATCCATTCTGATCTTACCAGCACAGAACAAAGACCGGGCCCTGGGAGGCAAGGTGGGAACTGCCCCAGGCCGCACTCTAGGCCCAGATCTGAATGGGAAGTGGGCTATTAGTCCCTGAAATTGCTCTCTGGGTTTTCCTTGGCCTGTATGGTTCCTTTTTGTACTTATATACCTTTTCCTTTTTCTTTTTTTAATAACTTGGTTTTGAATTGACCAGCAGACCTGTCTGTTTGCTCAGCTTGATCTAAATTGGCTTTTGGTTCAAACTTCAGGTACCCCAGCCCCCGCAGTCCTCTGGCTGCCCTTGACTTTCATCCATTCTGATCTTAGCAGCACAGAACAAAGACCGGGCCCTGGGAGGCAAGGTGGGAACTGCCCCAGGCCGCACTCTAGGCCCAGATCTGAATGGGAAGTGAGCTATTAGTCCCTGAAATTGCTCTCTGGGTTTTCCTTGGCCTGTATGGTTCTTTTTTGTACTTATATACTTTTTTCTTTTTCTTTTTTTAATAACTTGGTTTTGAATTGACCAGCAGACCTGTCTGTTTGCTCAGCTTGATCTAAATTGGCTTTTGGTTCAAACTTCAGGTGGTTTTTCAGTTTGACTCTGCTCCTCTCTCTCCAGGAAGACAAGTTCGCCCATATTTAGCATTTTTGCTGACAGAGAACCAGCAGGCTTGCTGTTTGAATCTACATCTGAATGTACCGTTTGGCCAAAAAAAAAAAAAAATCACTCTTTTAGGTTTGTGGAATTTGGTTGCTTTATTTTTGGCCACAGTGCTTCTCTGTCGTGTTGTTTTACATTTCTCTGGAATTCACTCTTCTGTGGCTCTTTCAGCAAATTTTCTCTGCATTGCCAGCTTTTATGAACAAATGGGAGACAGCCTGAGTTCCGCAAAGAGTGTTCATCCATCACAATGCTGGAACCTGAAGCACCTATGGGGGATGCCCCACACAGAGATACTCTCTCTGGAGGACTGCGTCTTGAAAACAGAATTCTCACTTACTCTCCTACATCAATCAATCCTGCACCTTTAGCCGTGTGTCAGTGGTGAACCTGTGTATGCTCCTAATAAAGTAATAATTAATCATTACCACTCAGATGCAGTATCACATATTAAAAGGGCTAGTTCAAAACAATCCACAGAATATTAAGGATAAAAGCCAGTAACTCTCCTTCCCATAGGATGATTTCAAGGAACATTTTTCTGTAAACTTAATTTTGGGATTCTATATTTGATTTCATGTGGATAAATTTATGAAAACAGAGGTTCACAAAAGTTGTGCTTTACAGAATTGCCCGAGTAATTGTGGTTAGGTATTGATCTAGGTTAGAAGTTGTAAGTAAAACCAGGTGGCACCAGTGGATGGACAGAGAGCGACAGTGTAAAGAATTACTGCTGTTCAAGAAAAAACACAGCTTGACAGTAAAATGGCCAAAAAAGATTTTATTCAGAAACTATTGCAGTAGGGGTAAAGAGACCTCAATGTAGAACTTCTAGAGACATCATGGACAAGGCAGGATTTTAACCAAGGAGCAGGGTGGGGTCAGTGGGTGGAAAATTACTGAGACAAAACCTGGGATGGGGAAGGATATTGGTTAAACAGACCTGACAGGATTCTTGAAGGCAGGCCAGAGTGATCAGGTATCACTCAGGGAATGAAGAATTTGATCAGATAGAGAGGGTGATCAGATATGAGGATGAGGGATTCTCTAAATTGACTTAAGCGCTCAGACTGATGGTTCAGGCACGAGAAGGAGGGACACCAGGGCTGAGGCCCGGAGGGCTCAGAGGAGCCTAATTAAAGTTTCATCAAGGACAGAGTTTTGTCACTGCAAAGATGTCTGATTATGGCTTTAACTGGGCTAGATTGCTTTAATATATTGTGGTTAAATTTTTTTTTTCTTTCTTGCTGACCTTTGTATGTGGGTGGGAAAGGAGAAAGTTGGTGTATACAGTCACTCACAGGGCTTAGCAGATACAATCTCTTTCTTTGTTTATTTTAATTTTTTCTTTTTTTTTGGCTGCACTGTGTGGCTTGCAGCAGGATCTGAGTTCCCAAACCAGGGACTGAACCTGGGCCACAGTAGTGAAAGTGCTGGACTGCCAGGGAGCTCCCTC